ATGCTATAGAGTCTCATTCACGAATTTAGGGGTGTCGCAATAAAGTTGTTCGTATCGCTAGTTCGGACAACTACGGTCGATGACCCTTGGCGTACATAAGCCGTTAGATTTTTAAATTTGGAACTAGGAACCCATGGCTGACGAGTGTAAAATTGAAGATTTTTGTGGCTGAAGATAGAAATTTTAAATATTCAATCCAAAATATGGAGATAATTCAGTATTTGTTGAAAAGTTAAGGACATGAGAAGTAGTTATTTTGATAACTGCCACTGGAATTGGTTTATTTATGTGCCTAAAAAGTTAACAATACTTTTGAGTCTTGTCCTTTTAAAAGTATAGTTTCCTATCAACCCTAACTTTAAGTTACCTAACTTAACCTGGTTGAGCCTTCTATAGGTTGTTGACCTATGACGTACGGTGGGTGTGTAGACCATAGTATTGAATGCAAATTTGAAAATCGAATAATCGCCAAGTCGATTGTCAAGTGTCCTTAGGAACTCGTCAGTTGTTATATTTAAAGTGCAAAAAGAGACTCTATAGCTACGCAATAAGATAATATGTATAAAAGCAAGAACATTTGCCACATATCAAATAGGCGAAATATCGAAGTGTTGAGAAGTAGAAACAGTAAAATTCTATAATCATAGCTTGGCTTCTTAATAAAATTGAAAACATCGTAGACTTGAACAAATACATTAAACTTTCCACAAAAATATATTTTATCTTTCATTCAAGTACAAAACTAAGACTAAACGAGGCACTAAACCAAAATTCCAAATACAAAAATGGCAAAGATCACACATCCCATACAGCCGAAAAACTATAAGATCAAATCGAGTCGTTGCATAACTGTAAATTCTAAACATTCGAAATTCAAAATGATGACCGTTGTGTGACGTAGCGGGGCATGATACAATTTCCGAACAAGCGGTCGACGCCCGATGACGTCACAATCAGCTGTTTCGTGGGACAGAGACAGATGTATATTTTGTCTCTGTTTACGGGAATGCCTGGAGTGCGTATGGATCTCTAAAGAGGTTTTTGCATCCTGTAGATAACAACTATATAATAATATAAAAAATGAATAATTTGTACGTTTCACGCGCTTATCTCCGAAACTGCTGGTTCTAATTCGAAAAATTTTGTGTTTTATAGTTCATTTACCGAGGATCGCTATATCTAGGCTAGGCTAGGCTGTTAAATAATAAAGCCCTGCCCTTTGAGAAAAAAAAAAACGTTTTTCCGAACCAAAATTATGAATTCGAATTTCGAAACCGAACTTACCGAATAAACGTTATAATGTTGATTCAAGAAAAGGATATTGCAAACTTACATTTTGTCAACAGTTGTGTCGTAAAACGGAACGGCCTTTCAAACTATTGTTTCGTATTCCGTTTTACGCAACGTCATTAAGAATATTTTTTGTAAGTTTCCTAATTCTTGTGACTATAGAATTACATGTCTACACTGGAATTCGAACCAGGAGTACATCACCTGCAATAACTTAACCTATTGTATAAAAGGGACCCATCCGAAAACCCATCCGAAAACCAACCTTGGCTAGGGTAGCTTAACCTATGATAGACCAAAGTTAATAAGTCCGGTGTATGGAAATAGACATTTTGTTGTTAATAGATATGTATAAATGTATGGGAAAATTTTAAAAATCCATTCTTACACGTGTCGTTTACTAATCGTTATTTTAGAGTCATCGTTAAAATATAATTAACAAGAAACTAACGATTAAACACATTACTTAAAGCTAATTAGTCTAAAAGTTATTTTAAATAGATTATCGTTATCGTTAATCGTAAAACTAGTCAACTATTTTCGCCATTTATGTTATGAGTCCCATGTAATAGGGCGTGAGTCTATTGCCATATACTGGGCACAATTCCAGACTCTGTGCTACTACTGAAATTTTCTCTGAGACAATGTATTATGGCAGTATATAACTACACAATTTACAAAGACTGGACAGCAGCGCCCTCTGATAAACTATAACCTTTTATACTGCGATCTCCAACCCTGTAAGCATGGATGATGGCATACCTCTTTAAACTGTCAAACACCAAGCGGTCACCGGTGACCGCAACCTATTGTTCTATAATTGTGTCTATAATAACGGTACTCAACGAGTTAATGTAGAAAAACTCCACAGATGAGCTACTAATTTAACTTGAAAACTAAACTAAATAATACTCCCGTTCTTATTAGAAACTAGTAGATATTTCCTCTATTAGTTTACGTGAACAAACAACTATTTTCTATTGATATTAAGATAACAACTGTGTTTTTATAATAACTATCGTGAGATATATACTAAATTAACTAAAATTACGCTGCTCATGAGGAAGAACCCCTCTGTGGTTCGAAACTAGTAGAGCTGTTCTCAGTATATTCACGTGAGTAACCCGCGATATTTAGTTAATTAAGAAAAACACCGTCTATATATATATATATATTTTTCACATTTCTTGCGTATCCCTATAGGATACAAAAACGTATAATTATAAATATAATTTCTACCTCGACGCGACTA